TATTGAAAGCTGCTCAAGCTAAGCCTGAGATCCTGATCTATGTCAGACAGCATTTCAGATGTCCGGAATGTTCGGCGCACAAGAAGCCAGCTGCACATCGTAGGGTAGCACTGCCGAAGACGTATCAGTTCAACAGAGTGGTAGGAGTAGATTCGTTCTACATCCAGTTCCAAGACAAGACCCTCTGCTTCTTAAATATTGTCTGTCACGGCACGAACTTCCAAGTAGTGCAGCGATATGAGGGAGGATCTAAGGAGTGCTGGGAGGCTTTCCAATCCTCTTGGACTCGCTACTTCGGGCCGCCCGATATGATCATATGCGACGGGGGGCCCGAGTTCGAACAGTATTTTGGACGAGGAGCAGAGCACGAGGGCATCCTATTGCACGTCGTCAACGGGGAAAGCCCTTGGGAAAACGGGAAGGCTGAGAGACGCGGAGGATGGGTGAAGGACTTGTTGCTGAAGGGGATGGAGGATCAGGTGGTTTCGGATGAGCGCGACCTAGAGACACTACTTCACGGTATCGTAAGTTCAAAAAACAGATACCTCCATCGCGGTGGTTTCAGTCCATATCAGTTAGTTCTGGGGCAAAACCCAAGAATCCCTAACGACGTGCTATCCGATGACGCTGTGAACGGGGTAGGCTCAGCCGACTTGATGGAAACGGCTTGGGATCGAGACACGGTCGCCGCGGGGTACGCCAGGGACAATTCCATCAGAGAGTATGCACGCCGTGAGCTCTTCAGGATCACCAGTCGCCAGAAGGTCCAGGAGGCCAATCGAGCGAGGCAGCACAAAGACCACGTCTTTCACTCTGGCCAATGGGTATATGTTTGGAGACGAGCACCTCGAACAGGGAAACAGACGATGGCTTTGCAGCGGGATCGCTGGGTAGGTCCCGGTATTGTGATCATGCATTCTCAAAACACCGTATGGGTGGCAATGAGAACTCGTCTGTGGAAGTGTTCCCCTAGTCAAGTTCGTGCTGCAACGAATCCAGAAGCAAGAGGTGCTGAAATCTTGTTCGATCCTGCTGTGAAAGAGCTCATTCGAGAGGTGAGATCAGGACATCAACGAGCCGGAGTTGACGTGGAGTCCGAAGGCGATCCTCCTGCAGAGGCTTGGTCCGATCCAGTTCCAGCATCCACCAGACTCGAGGGCACGCAGTCTCTTCCTCCTGCTCACTCCGACGCGCCCGCAGGAGACACAGGAACACGAAGTACCCCTTCAGGTGGAGCAAGTACTCCATCGGGTGCCGCAACCTCACGCAGGGCCGTTCCCCACCTTTCCTCTCCGCCTCCTGCGGAGGCTCCTCTGGATCGTTTCCTAGGGCCTCTGGATCAGGAGCGACCTGGAGCTGCCTCGGGGGTGCCGGTGCCTGGGACGCCCGTCGACCCCACGGCTTCACCTAGGAGTCAAGTTCGGGGCCCTGGGTCCGCGGAAAATTCTTCGTCCGACGATGTCCGAGGGACTAAACGGCAGCTCTCCGGGAGCGATTCTGGGTCGAGGTCGGAGTTGGGCCAGGAGCGACAAGTTGAGCCAAGAATTGAAGGCCCAGTCGGGCCGGAGGTTTCCTCTGGTTCGGGACCGTCCCTGGGGCCTCGCCCGTCTCCTCTTCCCACTCCCCTGCCAGGGGGAACCGAGGAAGAGTTTCAGCGGGCCGTGTCTAGTGCCGCAGCCGAGGCGGTTCGCAGGAACCGAATGTTAGACCTGGGCCCTCGGGCCCGACGGCTGCCCACCCGGGGAGAGGATTTCGGCGGGATCCCTTACGGTAGAGTTCAGCAGCAGATTCAGGAACGGGAGGCTCCCCGGTCCCGGAGTCCCGAGCAACGAGACGGCCCTGGGGCCGAGACCTGGGTTCTCTATGAGGACCTCGATGAGGAGATCCCGGATGCTCTATGTCTGTTTCAGGATCGCTGTGAGGACCCCGGCTCGTGGAACGAGCGAGCCGACTACGTCGAGAAGAGCCTTGACTCTCATCTGAAGGTCTGTGGGTGGAGTGGAGACTGGCAGACATATCTCAACGGGAACGCGGACATGTTTGTGGAGGTTTTTCCTGGAGGTTCTGGATACGGCCTAAGCTTGGCCACCAACAAGGGACAAGAGGCACATCTTGGGATAATGACCGAAGAAGAGCGAGAGGAGTTTAGGGCTTCCGACAGTCTTGAGTGGAAGGCAATGACGAGCTCTGGTGCTGTCAAGGTTCATCCTCCTTCCATGGGCCACGAGCTAAGACGTCTGTTTCCCAACAGAGTGGTCTCTTCTAGAATGGTTCGCCGGTGGAAGCCCCAGCCTGGAGTCCACTCTAGGCCCAAGGCCAAGAGCCGTTGGTGCGTTCGGGGACACGAAGACGAAGACGCTGCTGAGCTCAGCGTGTATGCGCCGACACCTCAGATGGAAGCTTTGATGTTATTCATTACTATAAGTTTGATGTACGGTTTAGAGCTCTACGTGGGCGACCTCAAGAACGCGTTCTGTCAGAGTAATAAATTGTCACGTTCTCGTGGAAGAGTATTTGTAGAACCCTGTGAAGGCTTGGATCTGCCAACAGGTTCATTAATAGAATTACTAGCACCGGTCTACGGATTGGACGATGCTCCGTTAGCGCTACATACCACTACCTCAGAGATCTTCCAGAAGGAGCTAGGATATGGCAAGAGTCGGCTAGAGCCCTGTTGGTTTTATGAGAGGACGAAGGACAACGAACTATTAGCCAAGTACTCGTAGAAGTAGACGACTGGATCATGGCCTTGCATCCTTCTATAGCTAAGAAACGCATAGATCGTTTTCGTTCTCGTTTTAACTTCGGCAAGCTTGAGCGGATCGACGAAAATGGAGTTGAGTACATTGGACGACGCATTAGATTATTATCCGACCGCGCTCTAGTCGACCAGGAAAAGTACATTCTGGAATCGACTACTCGTCTGGACATCCCTCGTCATCGAAGAAGCGATCACAACCAGCCATTGCTCGGCACGGGGTGCGTTAATTTCAGATCCTTGATTTATAAATTAAATTGGATTGGCCGTGAGTCCCGAGCTGAAGTATCAGGCACGGCATCTATACTTGCGTCCCGGGTCAACAATCCCACTGTAGGCGACGCCCTCGAGGCCAACAAGGCAGTGGACATGTTGCGAAGTACTGCCTCGATTCCAATAACGGTGTGGAGATTCAAGAAGGGTCGGATGATCTTTGGCACGGCCTCAGATGCGGGTGGAATCGGTGCTGCCCGGCCAGGACATGCTCAACAAGCATGGCAAGTGTATGCCGCTGATCAGAGTCTCTCCACCGGCCGCCTCTCTCGTGTGACTCCTCTAGCTTGGCGATCCTCCCGCCTCAGAAGACAGGTGCCGCCCACCCTCGGAGGAGAAGTCATTTCCTTGAGTGCCGCTCTGGGGGAGGCGGAATGGCTTCAGATGCTTTTCTTGGAGGTGACTCAAGGGGGCCTGTTGACGAACACATGGAGGGATCATGTGGGTCCCTTCACGACCGTCCTCCGGCAGGATAGCGAGTTGAACGTGTCCCCCTTGAAGAATGTGTCCATCGTTGACGCCAAAGGAATCTTTGATACTCTAGATAAGATAACCTCGGGATCGAAAGCAGATCGCAGAATAGCAGTGGACCTTGCAGTTATCAGAGAAGTGATGGAGAGAATAGGTAGCAGTATTCGCTGGGTTCCACATCCAGCCATGACCGTCGATATCATGACGAAGTCGTCAGATGTGTCGAAGGGAAACGCTTCGCAGTTCAGGATGTTGAAGACCGGCCTATTGCGTCTTGTGGCCGAGGCAGATAGCTTGCAGGAGCGAAAGGATCTACCATCGTCTCGGAACAGGAGCAAAGCGTATTCCAGCAAGTATCTGATTCGAACTCAGAAGAATGTGGAGGAGGAGGACGAGGAGCAGGAGGTCTAGGGCTAGAACGGTAAAGATCGACTCGACATACGGATTCACGTGCCGAAACGTCTCTTTCTCTCTCTCTCTCTTTTGCTGTCTCCGCCCGCGCCGCCCCCCGCCGTGGTTCCTGCCCCGGCTGCTCTCTCTGCTTTCTCTTTCTCTCTCTCTCTCTCTCTCTTTCTCTCTCTTGGTCGGTGTTGGAAGGGTTCCTGAGCTTTTGAAGCGGCTGAACTTTCGGGAGGTATAGTCCACCTCAGTTTTATGCATGACTCGCATCTTATGCTAGGGCTCACGCCTCAAGCATTCAGTTTTAAGACCTCTATGGCATCAGTAACGTGTGCAGTTCTATGTCACGAGTTTTGTTTCCCATCCTTCCAGTGCAGTTCTGTCTAGCGCCGAGGCCCATTGATGGCAGTTTCTCCCGGTTTTAATCTCACTAAAATGGGGTCCACTGTGTGAATTCAGTGTGTCCCTATGAGATTAAACCTTTTTGTTATTCTATTCTTTGCTTGTGCATGTGTCATGCTCTGTTGTATATTTGTGTCATCATCTTTTGGCTTACAGGCACCTTTAGTAGCTGACGCGCCTTCGGCGAGATAAACGTGCCATCTTACCGCCGCTCACTCGCAGTCAGAGCCTATCAGGAGGAGGTTTCGTTTGACACTGCGTCGATGTATAACCCCATGTTTGTGTTTCGTGATTCATGTTCTTCTGTTTTTGTTGTGTGTGTGTGTGTGTGTTTGTTTTGTTTATTTCTCTCGCTCTCTCTCTCTCTATATATATATACGTGTATATAAAGAGAGAGAGGGAGAGAGAGAGAGAGAGATCGCTGTCCTCTACCTGTCCCTTGTTCGGCTCGCTCTTCCATCTCCTTTCTTTGCACCGACAACGTCGTCGTCGTCATCCCTGCCTACCCCGCCCTTCATTCCCCCCCACCCACCGCCCCACACTCTCTTCCTCCCCATCCCTCCTCGTTCCTCCCTTTCCCTCCGACCCCCCCATTCCAGATCGCCCCCCGCTCCCCCAACGTAACTTTATCTCCTCCTGACCCTCATCATTCCCTCCTCGTTCCATTCCCTCTCGTCTTCCTCCTTGCTTCTCCCAGGAGCGAGACCGCCGAAAGGAGCAGGATGCGCGGCAGTACTTGGAGGCGTTGGCGTCCTTTATTTCCGCACGCGGCGCGAGGAGGAGGAAGAGCAGGAGGAGACAAACGCCACAGCGGTCACGCTCAGGCCGGTCTAACGTAAAAAGGAGGAGACTCGAGGGAAGGAGGAGGAGGAGGAGAAGGGGGAGGAGGACGAAACACAGGAGGACCAAAGTGAGCCCAGCACACCTCAAATGCTACGACACACCCGCCAATCCCGAATACGTCCTCTACGATGCAATGGAATTGGAACATGTTTCCACCGCGGCGAGCGCCCACTGGAATTGTAAGGCCTCGCGACGTTGCAGGGTGATAACTGTATGTGCCTCGAAGTAGGCATTAACGATCATAATGCTACTCGCCCGTGTGGCTTTACGGAGCGTAGAAGATCTGAGCAGGGGGTAGCCCTCCATCCATGCATCGCTTGTAGACGACCGGACATAGATTGGCAGCGCGCCAGAAAGAGGCCGAGGTATTCAACAGTGAGGCGCAGTCCATCCGTGTAGCAATGAGCATTGTTCAGAGATGCAAGGGCCCAGTGATGAACAAGTGTTCTTCCATCCGCGTGTCCCTATGAACGGCGCCACGGTTAGAGCCAGATGTTCAAAGACGGCAGTTGGAGGTGTTTAAGACGAGTTCGCGCAATTGCAAGGCGGCTCCTGGATCTTAAACAGGTCCTGTCCTCCGTCCGTGTCCGGTCAGCTATTGGGAAGTCCGGCGGATAATGTGTGCGGCGTTGAAGCGATAACCATTTGTTCAGAACGACCAGTGCTATGACCGTGAAACGATGTGGACCTTCAAGCGGTAGGACGCCTGTTGGGACGAGGAGGAGGAGGAGTCATCTGCAAAGACTCATTGGACGTGGAGACGTAGGGGCGAAGTATGTGGAGGGAGGGAGGGGATGAGAAGGAGTACGTAGTGGTTCCTGGCTCCTCCGTTTTTTCGGGTCCTCCGTCTTTCTTGGCTGGCCGTTGTTGTTGTTGCGGCGGTTGGGCGGCCAGCCGGTACATTTGCCGTTGTTGCGATGCCATCTTTTGTTGCATTGGTCGCCCATGCTGCTCGCCTGGCCGCGGCGGCGGTCTACCCCTGACCCAAGTGGCCACTTTCCTGTGACGTCCCCGCCTCTGTTCGACACGCCCCTGACTGGCCTCACATGGATCGCATCCCGTCGGCAGTGCCACGCGGGCGCCTTCTGATGATGGACCCGCACCAATTTGGAAAGCCCGTTATATGCTGCTGTGCACCATACAGCAGTGAGCCCACATTACAGCTCTAGCGGGCGCGTCCTGATGCGGCAATCTAGTTCGTTTCTGAACGTGTTTTCACATTGATCGTGCTACATAAAGCTCCTCATTGTGTCCCTGCCCCTTTCGTTCACGCCTTCACACTGGTCACACTCCGTAGGGAGACTCAACTACGGCCCAAGTGGAGGGCATTCCTACGATCTTGCTTCAAGTCGACACACCTTCCACACGGATCCATTCTCGTAGGGACAATTTAGTGTCGCGGTGGGCAGAGGGTTCCCTGGCTTGGTTCGGGACACCCGTCATTCGGATTTTGCCCCATGGGGGGCCCCTTTTAGGCCCTAGTGGGGATACCCGCGTGGTGTTCCCGCCTCAATGCGGCACGTTTCTTTCGAATCACCGCGCATCAATCCCCCCTGCGTCACGCCGTATATGATGAGGCCCTCCCTTGCGCTATTCAGAGCGACCTTGGGTTGAGTCTCTCGCAAGGGTGATTTCCGAATGCCCAGCGCCAAACATTTTTGTTATAAGGATGGATGGCTGTATGGGATGAGCACTTCCGCGGTCAAGACTGATAATCTCTCGTTCTCTCTTTTTCCTCGTGTCGGCAAGAATCATAGGTGTGGACTACTTCATTGACCCACGATGCCTGCAGCATGTGGCCATTGGGGCAATGTCCGGGCTCGCTTCATGGACCTGGAAATGGTTCCTGGCTCGAAGGAGAATACAGATGCATACGCATCATTTTTCAGAGGTCCGAGTAGACCTCCGAAAGTGCATGCTTCTGCAGGTTGTTCTTCTTCTGTTAGCCTCGCCCCCACCAGCGGGTGCAGGCGCAGCTAGAAGCAGCAGGCTTGAGCGTCAAGGGCTTGGGTCCGCTGGAGGGGCGCTGGCCACGTCCGCTGCTGGATCCTCGACGGAGATGCCTTTGACGTCCAGCACTCACCCCCAGAATGGCGGGTGCTTGGCGATGTCCCTGTCTTTGAAGAAGAAGACACAACCAGTCACATACCATGTCGGAGCTCCGCTCGGATTTCTTGTATCTGCGCTGGACTCTCCTGGCGCCGCCAGGGGCGCCGCCCTTGGAGGGGGTGTCTTCAGCACAGGTCAAAGAGATCCGCGCGGACCTCCGAAAGTTTATGTTCACGGAATGCCCACTTTGTCAGCCTTGACGGCTCGACCGACAGGCTATTGGAAGTCGTTGCTTGAACGGCGGCGTCCAAACACATGGCAGCGTCACGCTACTGGAGCCGTTGCGGGACCCGCGCAAGCATTCAGCACGGACCCAGGCTTTGGCAGCAGATATCAAGTACCAAGTGTATTCGCATTTCGCTGCCATATGCCCGTGACCCGTCCAGCGGAGCCGGTCGCAAGTAAAACGCCACAGTTCTGTCGGATGAATCGCCACCATCATATTTGATGTCTCTCGAAATCAAATTGTCTTCTGACCAATCATGTTGTCGTCGTCTTCATGGCCGCCTCCATCTCCGTCGTCGTCGTGGTCGTCGACTTGATATGTATATATGCATCGCTGTTGTCGCCCTCACACGTATATGCGTGTATGTGTGCATGGCATCATCACCAGATTTTGCCTCCTTCATCAACTTGCTTATACAGGCCATCATCGGCGATGATCGACATTGCCGCCGCCGCCACCATCTAAGAGCACTTCACTCTAAACCAGTCATCATTGGCACCCTTGTTCGCTGTTGTCGCAGTTCCCTTACTTTCTGCCTCCTCGTGCGCTTCCCTCCTCATGCTCCAGATGACAGCAGAGGGTTCCCGCGCATCCCAGAAGCATGGCCTCACCAATTTCATGCAGTTCCTGATGCAGAGCCTCATGAAGGATAAACCCGCGAACCCGTGACCCTTCGCATAGAGGTGGATGAGGTGGAGGAGGAGGAAGAGGAGAGGAGGAGAAGGAGGACGAGGCCAGGAGGAGGAGCATGAGGCCAGGTGCCCCAGGAGGAAGAGACGCGTCCAAGTCGCCAGGGCGCGCCCTTCATCAGTAAAAGGCCCAATGGGTCTAGGCTCCACGAGCCATCCCCATCTCGGGATGGCACCCCGCTGCGAGCGCTCTCGAGCGCGCTGGCGGCTGGGCTCAAAATGACAAGGTGGGTCAGGGCAGGCTCCGAAAAACGCTGTCGACCCTCGCAACTAGTCGGGTAACGAAATCTAGACATATTCATTGACCCTGTCCGGGCCCATCCCTGGTCCAGGAGTGGTGTATTGTGCTGGCCTCCGGCCAGTGCCGCTGATCCGGGGCGCTCTGCTGATGATGATGATGATGATGATGATGATGATGGTGATGATGATGATGATGATGATGATGATGATGATGATGAAGTTGGTGTTGATGCTGATGCTGATGCTGATTGCTGATGCTGATGATGATGATGATGATGATGATGATGATGATGATGATGATGATGATGATGATGATGATGAGTATGATTATGATTATGACTATGATGATTTTTATAATGGTAATGGTCATGGGGCCATCTTGGGCGTCTTGCACCGATCGTTCGGTGATTCGGGGCTTTCTTGGGCCCCTGGCCGTCTTGAGGGCCTCTTGGGGCCCTGTTGGCCCGTCTTTGGCCTCTCTGGGTCTCCTCGGACAAGTCATGCGGGAATACTCTGGGGGCCCCAGAGGGCGCGCGGGGAACCTCAAGAGTTTTGAGAGCTTGGGGTCCGGGCCCATTAAGAATCTTCAGGCTTGAGGACTGAGGCTCGAGCACTGGACTTGGAGAAGCTTCTTGGGGGTCCTTTTGGGTCCTCTTTCGGGCCTCTTGGGGGCCTTTTGGGGCCTCCTGGGGGCATCTTGGATAGTACCAGAGATGGGCAGGAATCCGCATGCGAACCCTGCCACTTGTGGAACTCCCCATGGGGCCACGGAGCGTGTGAGGGGGGTGCCGAAATGGGCGGGGAACCGCACGCGAACCCTGCCACTTGTGGAACTCCCCATGAGGTCACGAAGCGTGTGAGGGGGGTGCCGAAATGGGCGGGGAAGCGCATGCGAACGCAGCCGCTGAGGCCTTGGGTGGAGCTCCCTGTGGGGCCACGAAGCGTGTGAGGGGGGTGCCGAAATGGGCGGGGAAGCGCATGCGAACACAGCCGCTGAGGCCTCGGGTGGAGGTCCCTGTGGGGCCACGGCGAACGGGGCCAGCAAACGTACGAGGAGTGTGCCGGATATGGCAGGCAACTGCATGCGAACGCAGGGGCCTTCTGTGTAGCTCTTCATGGGGCCACGAAGCGTGTGAGCGGTGTGCCGAAATGGGCGGGGAACGGCGTGCGAACGGGGCCAACAGACGTATGAGGGGTGTGCCGAAATTGGCAGGGAACCGCATGCGAACGCAGGAGCCTTCCGTGTAGCTCCTCATGAGGCCACGAAGCGTGTGAGGGGTGTGAAGGCATCGGCGCGGAATGGCATGCGAATGCAGCCGCTTGGGCCTTCGGTGGAGCTCCTTACGTGGCCACGAACAGTGTGTGTGGGGGGGGGGGCCAGAACGGGGCAGGGAACCGCGTGCGATTGCAGCCGCTGGGGCCCTGCGTCTCTGTGGGGCTACGAAGAGTTTGAGGGGCGTACCGACATACGTGGGGAACCGCGTGCGAACGCATCCGTGGGGCTTTCCGTGGAGCTCTCTATGGAGCCACGAAGCGTGTCAGGGGTCAGCTGGATTGGGCGAGGAACCGGATGCGAACGCAGCCGCTGAGGACGACAACGAACGAAATAAACAACGGGCCCAACCATTCACCCGCCTAGACGAGGCAAACTGCCGAGTGGCGTGGATAATCCTGGCCGCCTTGCACACCTCTCCCTCGTCCTCAGGGATGCTGGCGAAGCCTGCCAGCTCAGTGGTCTCCCAGATTTCGGCGCATCCCACGAACCCCAAACTGATTCCTGGAGAGCAAGACTCGGGCGAGTTAGCAATTTCTAGCTTTGGGTTGCTGAGGGGGGGGGGTCAACTCGCCCAGGTGAGGGACTGAGTCTCCAGGGCAATGTCAGCCTGCCAGCTGCCCCCGCGTCGGCGTCGGCGGGAGCAGTGGAGCCACCCCGACACCTGGCACCACTAGCTCAGCAAGGCTTGGATACGCCACCAAACTGTTGCAGAGGCCCCCCCTCAGCACCGTGCTCGGTAGGGAGGCCTGGCGAAAGTAAGCACGTCGAGCCCGGGCAACGACGTGGCGTTTTTTCGTGTTTCCCTCTCGGATTGGCAGCGAGCACGCTGGCCCCCACATTTTGGTCTCGAGCTCGACCGCGTCAACACGCAAGGCAGCTCGAGCGTCTGTCTTTTGGCGTAGCTGCTCGTGCATCTGTTCGATGTTATTCTCCTGGGCCTAAACGAGCTCGTCCTGCTGGGCCTCGTTTTTACTCTCGAGCCTCCGCAGACGTCCGACGAGCTGTGAGAGTGCGGACCTCTTGAGTCGCATTCCCTCGTGGTCTTGCTCGCGCTTGGCCTCCAGAATCTCGGCGCAAGCTGGAATCTCTGGTGCCGGCGCCGAGATGCCGCGGAGGCGGCGACGTTCGGCGCCGAGGCCGATGGAGTCGAGCTTGCTCTGCTGCACCGCGTCGTCGCCGGAGTCGTCGGTGTCTCATGCTGGTGGCGGCAGGCGGCCCTTCGGTTTCCGCAGCCTGCGGGGCCGTGAGCTCATCCGCGAGCGCCGCCATCTCCTGCTTCACACTGCCCACGCAGCTGACGTTGGATAGGCTGCTGGCGTTGGGAGTGACGTACAACGTGCTCCTCAGTGGCAACGTCAGTGGGGACAGGCTGAGGGGGGAACGCATCGACCCTCAATCGCCCATTGACCACCGATACAGGCCCGATGCCCGATAGTCCCGCCCCGCCCATGAGCGTGCGGTTTCGCCATCGGGGTCCTATCGCCGACCTATCGGCGATGTATCGCCGATTTCAGGTCGATCTTCCCCCCTATCACCCCCAGCTGGTTCACCACTAACGTTACCTTTTCTCCAACGCTCGCATTGTTCTGCGAGCGTTGGCGAAAGGCATGCTGGTAATACGCCACGGCATGCTGGTATTACGCCAAGGCATGCCCGTATTTCACCAGGGTTCTTACGTGCACGAGCTGCTGTGCCAGTCGGGCGGGCCCTACACGCGAGCGCGCTGCTATGAACCATTGTTCGCCGCTGGTGCGCAGGTGCCTGTTGGTCAGTCGGTGCAGAGCTGTTTGTGAATCAGGCCCAGAGTTGTTTGTAAATAGCGCCAGAATGGTGGGAGTGAGGAGGGGGCGAGGAGGAGGATAAGGAGGAGAACGAGAACTGGGAGGGGCATTGGGGGATTGCTCGAGAGGGAAGAGGAAGACGGAAATGGATGGAGGGGACAATCTTCAGCGGAAGCGGAAACGAGAGGGGGAAGATGGAGATGATGGGAAGGATGGTGCCCCGGTGTTTCTGCTCCTGCTCCCGCTCTCTTCTCGTCCCCCTTCCACCTAATCCAGGTGGGGAAGCGTGGGGGGGCCAGGGAGCGCTTCCTCAGCGACACGCCAGGTACTCCTTCTTGCAGAAGCAGGTGACGAAGCGCATGGTGTCCGAGGCTAGAGCCAGGGTGGTGGTTACGCCCGAGAGCAGGTTAAGTAGTGATTTCAGTTATGATGGGTCTGCTGGTGCTGGCCGATGATCCGTTTGTCTGATCTGCTGGTTCAGATGGTCCGATCACGTGATATTCAGTGATCGTGTTTGTTCGGTCGCGTGGTCTCATGGTCCAGTGATCTGGCGATGTTTCTCAGTCGCGGGCACTATCATGAGATCCGATACGACAGTAATCAATTGCGTTGGGTCGGGTGGTCCTGCCATCGTACAGTTTGGCCTGTTGGGTCGAGTTGGCCTATGGTCCAGGCTCTGGTGTTCCTGTTTGTTTGCGCAGGGTGATCTTTTGATGTGCAGTTTATGTACCCACCGAATTTGCTGGGTGGCCCAGGCGATCCCATGAATATGCGTCATGGTTTGTATCCATCGTCGGAGAGCCATAATCGTTTCAATTGCAGGCCATTGATTCCACTGTTCAAAAAAATGTTGGTCGATGCGTTCAAGCAGTGCGACTTGATTTCACTTGAATACCATTCGGTTCCATTGCATCTCGTTTGCTCCATCTGTTTCTGATTCGTTGCACGTTTTCACCTTGGTTCGGGTGGATTCTCTTTGATGACATGTAACTGTGTCACTTGCCGTTTGAGCACACGCGTCCTTTGGTGGGGTCGCCATCATTGACGCAAGTGCGTGAACCCAGACACTTGGTTTGCTTTCGGTTTCAGTATTGTCACTGTTTTGAACGGGGGGGATCGAACAGTTTGGCATTGTTTGTTGACAGTTGGCCCCATCTGCTTTCAATGTATGATTCTCTATTTGGGAGCCCCATCAGATTGAAGTTTGGATCATGTTGCAGTTGATAGGGATATTCCCTGAGCTGGTCTTTGGGCCCGGTGGTTCGACGGTCTCGTGGTCCTGCTCGTCAGGTTTCGCGATCCTGAATACCGCCCTCCTCTGCCCCAGAGGGAGAGGAAGAGAATAAGGAGGGAGGGGAGGGACAGGAGAAGGATCAGGCCGAATAAGACGGTGAGAATGCGGAAACTGAGAAGTAGGGGGAATTATGAGAAGGTAGGGAGGGGGAGGGTGTTGATGTGGATTTTGCAGTGGATAAAGGATGGGGGAAACAATGTGGAGGAGGTGGAGGGGGACGCGGAGGAGGAGCAGGAGGACGAGGAGGGAGAGGAGGGGGAGGATGATGAGGATGGACGAGGAGTGGGAGAAGGATGATGATTGCGAGGATGAGCAGGGGGGAGGGGAATCACACTTCACCCTTCTGCGTTTGCTTCGGCCCCGTCGCCATTCGTGGTGCTGCTCCTTCTCTCCCTCTCCCTTATGCGCTGGTCTTACTTGCACCAGTTTATCAGATTGTCCCCTTCTTTTCAAGCTCCTTCTCCCTACCCCTTCTCCAGACTGACTCTCTCGGAGAAGGGGGAGGTGGAGGCGGATGTCGATGAAGAGGATGGCGATTATCTTGATGAGGTGGTCGTGGATGACATTGATGGCAAGGCTTGTGAGGAAATCGATGTTCATGTTGACGATGTTGAGCATGATACCGATCAGGGATCACACTGATGCCGGTCATGATGGCGATGATGTCAATTGCGGTTGCGACGGCAATGTTGGTTACGATGTTCATGGCGATGGTACTGTTGCTGATGATGACGACACTGATGATGATACGGATGCGGAAGGGGATCAGGACAGGAGGCCGAGGCGGAGGAGGGTTGGCAGGACGAGAGGCGAGAGGCGAGAGGAGGAGTAGGAGGAGGAGGAGGAGGAGGAGGACAAGGCCTCGGTCGCATGACGACGAATTGGCCGACAGCGACAAGCGCCCAGCAGGAGGAGGAGGAGAAAGAGGAGGAGGAGGAGGAGGAGGAGGAGGAGGAGGAGGGGCGAGTTGGTGGAGGCGGAGGAGCGGGGAGGTACGACGATGAGGGCCTGTGGTTTGAGCTCCCCGCGTCCGTTGCTCCTCTTCGCCCTTCTGTTCAGCCTCGCCGTGCCGCCCAGGTCTCTCGGACCATCGCAGGGGACAGGACGCGGGATGCGCCGGCGTCTCCAGAGGTGGAGGAGAAGGGAGTGGGAGGCGGAGGACGAGGAGGATGAGGAGGAACAGGTGGAGGAGGAGGAGGTGGAGGAGAAGGAGGAGGAACAGGAGAGGATGGAGTATGGGGTATGGGGTATGGAGGATGGAGGAGGAGGAGGTGGAGGAATCAGTTTTTTTTGTTCTCTCTCAACCTCTCTCTCTCTCTCGTTTTCTTTCGCTCTGTCTCTCTGTCTCTCTGTCTCACTCTCTCTCTCCCTCTCTCTTCGGGCTGGCCTCCCAGCGGGTCTCCGCCGAAGGCGCTAGCCACCGCCTGCGTCGCCGCCTCGTCAGCACAGCCCGCTGCCCCCGCGGGCCATGCGGCTCCTCCAGACTTGCACCCAGACGAGGCATCTCTCGGCCCCCGACAAACCATCGGGTGCTCACCAGCAGCGCGGCACATCCTGCCTGCCCCACGTGGTGGGCGGTTGCCTGCCTCGGCCTCTGGTCCTCCCTCGCCACGAGGACCCAGGCCGCTCCTGGTGCGCCCCGCATCTTCCGGGCTCTCCCTCCCGCTCGGGCTCTGGCCGCTGGCCCCCCTCCCGTCACAGGTGCAAGCCACGCACGGCCAAGTTCAGCCTGCGGCCGACCGCCTGACGCGGCTCGAGCGTTAGCTCTAGCACGTCTGGTCCCTTTCGGACCGTGTTCGCCGCACGACGCGACAGCACTTTACCACGCTGCGTGAACTTTACGCGACCATGCAGCGTCAGGCATCGCTCGCCCCTTCGACGGCGAACGTCTCCGCCTCCGCCCCAGTCGCCATCCACGCGACCCAAGCGCGTTAGAAGCGCCAGCGAACCTTCTCATCGAGGCCCGTGTGCCGCTTGGCAAGCGTCCACTGTGGCCTCCCGCCTCTGCGGGTCCTGGAGGGGTGCCGGATGGATGCCGCCACTGTCAGCGAGGTACCGTCAGGCCAAAGATGGATGCAGGCTTCGCTTTCCCATACAGGTGAGACTCGGACGTCTGCGAGGCAGCGTCACAGTACACCACTTGCTCGCTTTCGGGGTGACCCCTCGCCCCCATCCCATCTCCCTTTCTAGCGGAGTGCGCTGGCCGCTTGCCGCCGGGTGCCCGGGTGACTCGTCGTCCAGCTGGTCCGCTCTCACTCTCTCTCTCTCTCTTTGTTTGTGTTGTCTCTCTCTCTCTCTCTTTCTCTTTCTCTCTTTCTCTCTTTCTCTCTCTTTCTTTCTCTATATCTCCTCTCTCTCTCTCTCCTGCTCTGTGTGTGTGTCTCTCTCTCTCTCTTTCTGAACATCCCTCTGTGTGTCTGGACATCCCGCCCTTCACCCGAACGAGCCTTGGCGTCAGCACGCTGACGAAGACCTTCATGGCCCCCCGCCCTCTCCTCCCTCTCGCAGCCGCCCTGCCCTTTTTTGTCCGTGCCTCTTGCAGTGCGCAAAATTCGTTGTCCTGCGCGCCGACCCGCGCGCTCGGCGGGTCCGCGACGATCAGTTGTACATCCCGATCGCGCCTCGGTCTGCCCGCATCCCGCTCGGTGCCTGCTCGCGCCATCCGCCACCCGTCGTTCGCGCCCCTCGTGCGCTCCTCGCCCCCGCCGCGGCGCTCGAGCGACGCTCGGGGGGAGGACAAACCGCAAAATCGCCAGAGGGGATGTGGGGTGGCCGCTCCCAGGTGGCTTCGGCTTGGACGCCGGCCGGCCCCCCAGGTAGTCCCAGTGGTCCAGGCCCCCCTCTGGCACAGCTGGCTTCACTAGGCCTCCCGAGCGTCCTGGGCGGTCTCTGGCGGCGCCCCTGAGGCGTTCCGCGCGCGTGGGTTGACGTGCAGAGACCGCCCGGACCACTCGGGGTGCGCAGCCCGAAACCTTGCCATGCCGAGGCTGATGGCCACATCCAGGCTCCCAGCGATTTAATTGTTGACGTTTCGCGTATCCCCGCCAGTACTCCTGGCGATCCGGAACTCTTCCGTTGAGCGCCTGCACGCCCGTTCGTCTTGTTTTCCGGCTGCGTCATGGCGGTCTTCGAGTTCGTCGGCTTCCTGCTCATCACCATATTGGCAGTGCGCGCCGACCTGGTGCCCTTCTGGTCTCCCGCACTTTCTGAGCCGAGCTTAGTGCGTAATTTAGGCCGTTGCATTGCTGCTTCGCTCTGACGGCGCGCGGCTGTACCGCTTGCGCTCGCGACCAAACAAATATCCCCGCCAGCCCGCCTTGATTTCGGAAGCGGAAGAGCATGACATGGATGAAGAGGGCGGGAAGCCGTCTCTTTCAAGTCTTGGAGTAGTTTGCGCAGACCTGTGAACGAACCGTATGCGATTTCGCGGACTTGTCGAATGAGGAAGGCGCGGGGGAAGGACGATGGGGGATGCGTGAGAGGAGGTGGACGAGGAGGAGGAGGATAAAGTTGAAGATGATGATGATGATGATGATGATGATGATGGTGATGGTGATGGTGATGCTGCTGCTGCTGATGATGATGATGATGGTGATGATGATGCTGCTGATGATGATGACGATGAGGAGGAGGAGGGGGAGGTGGGGGAAGGTCGGGGGGGAGAGAGGAAACGGGAGAAATGGGCGGATGAAGGCGAGGAGGAGGAGGAGGAGGAGGAGGAGGAAACGGAATAGTACGACGACAAAGGCGAATCTGGGGGTTTCTTGGGGCGTCCTGGGGGCTTCTTGGCAGTCCCAGAGGCATCTTGGAGCGTCTTGGGTGCCCCCGGTAGCCTCTTTGGGCCTCTTGGAGGTTTCTTGGGAGTTTCTTGGAAGCCTCTTGGGCGCCTCTTGTGGCCTCTTGGGCGCTTCTTGGGGCCATCTAGGAGGCGACCGATCAAATCAGGATAGAACTTCAATTGCGCACCCCTCCCCCCCCTCGGGAGCCCCACAACTCGCCGTTTGGACCCCTCTTGGAGCGCTCTTGGGCGCGCTCTTGGGGTGGTCTTGGGCTTCTCTTGGGGCCCTTTTGTGCCATCTTGGAGACATCTTGAGGCGTCGGAAGGCCATCGACAGCAAAACGGCGATATAGCGAAATTATCACAGATGTTCCTGAACTGATTGAAGGGTTTTGGCCTCTTGGCGGCCTTCGGGGGGGGCTCCGTTGCCACCAGCGGCCGTCTTGGAGCAGCCTTGGGGATGTTTCGAGCATTTTGGGGTCCATATTGAACCATATTGGGCTATCTTGGGCCGTCTTGAAAGTCATCTTGGGCTCCCTGAGGCAATCCTGGAGGTCCCAGAGCCATCATGGGCCATCTTGGACGCCCCACCGCCTCGCGACATCCCCCCTCCACGTCTAGGGAAGGGGGTAGGGGGAAAAGATCAGGACACCCTCCACATATCAAGCCGTCTAGCTCACTCCCACCCGCCCTCCCAACACATCAGTAACACCCAAGCCTCAGCATGTTCAGCGGTCGTCTTTGGATGGGCAGCTGCTGGGAACCAAAGCCGAGCCCATGTGCGCGACGCTGGGGCGAGGTGCGCCACGCGCGCCTGGAACGCCTAGTGCCCGAGCGTGCCAGGCAAGCCTGGTGCGCCGAATGCGCCACGTGCCTCTGGGTGCGCCAGGTGTGCCGCATACTCCAGCCGCGCCACGTGCGCCACGTTCGGTGCACGCGCAGAGTGTGCCAGGTGCGCCTGCGCACGTGACAGCACACATCGGGAAACATGTCGGCCCACACCATCCCTGTCGAAAACCAATGCCCATCATTGTGTGTCGTGGGCGTGCGCACAGCAGGCCATACTCCACCCCCGCCGTCCCCGCCAAACTCAGTGGGCCGTGATCGCAGGGCGGCCGCGCATGACCCAGATTTGCCGCGAGGTGCATTTTGAATTTGAGTTGTGTCAGGGATGGTAGCCCTCTGCGCAGCAGGCAATATGCTGACACCGCCGCCGTCCCTTTCAAGAGGCGGGGCGAGAGGGCGCGGGAACGGGAGAGGCGGCGGGGGTGGGTGGGAGAGAGCGGGGGCAAATCAATGGCCATTGGGCAGGGATTGGGGAGGGGGCGCACCGACCCCATGGCAATCTGAAGTTCCTCCCGCCTCGAGGCTACGAGCTAGAAGAAGGAGGAGGCGGAGGAGGAGGAGGAGGAGCAGGAGGAGGGGGAGCAGGAGGAGGAGGAGGAGGATGAGGAAACATAAGAATACTAAGACGAAGAAGAAGAACAAGACGACGAATACGATGAATAATAAGCAGATGAAGCAGACGAAGAAAGAATAAAAATAATAATAATGATAATAAGAAGAATAATAAGAAGGATACGAATAATAATAATAATACTAAGAAGAAGAGGAGGAGGAGGAGGAGGAGGAGGAGGCGGAGGAGGAGGAGGAGAAGGAGGAGGAAATGGAGGAGGGGGAGGAGGAGGGGGAGGGGGAAAAGAGGAGGAGGAGGAGGGGAGGGGAGGGGAGGGATGGGAGGGACGGGGAGGAGGAGGTGGAGGAGGTGGAGGAGGAGGGGGAGGGGAGGGGGAGGGGGGGGGGGAAGAGGAGGGGATGGGAGGGACGGAGGAGGAGGAGGAGCAGGAGGAGAAGGAGGAGAAAGAGAAGGAGGAGGACAGAAGAAGGCAGTGACGGAGTGAAAAGGAGGAATGGGATGCGGAGGAACAGGAAGAGGAAAAGTAGGAGGAGAAGGAGGAGGAAGAGGACGAGGAGACGGGTCCCTCTTTCTGCTGGTCGTCGCGTATCCTCCTCCCTTCTCCTGCGCCCTGCCCGCAGGATAGATCTTCTAGTCGAGGACAAGGGCTTGGATACCCTGCTCGAGAAGTTTTCCTCTGGCGAGGCTACCTCGCTCAAGCCTCTACAGGCAGAGGGTGAGGACGACCAGAAAAAGAGGAAGATATGGCTTGGACGACAACGACGAGCTGATTTTATCTTGTGGGGAGCAGGCATAGGAGGAGGAGCAAGACGGAGGACGGTCAGAACGAGGACAAGGCGGAGTAAGAGCAGGCGGGGTGAGTGGGGGGACAATGGGAAAGGACGGGAAAGGAGGGAAGGGGGAACGGGCAGGAGAACGGGGAGGGGGGAGCGAGAAGGAATGTTGGAGTTGAGGAGGGGGCTGGAGAGAGGGAGGAGGAGCGGAGGTGGAGGGAGGAGGGTGTGGCGAGGATGAGGCAGTCGAGAGTAATCCAGTGACGAGAGGAGGAGGCAGGATGCAGGAGGCGGCTGGAAACCAGCCAGAATAGCCAATTTGCTGAAGGCAAGACGTGCACACACGCACACACACACACACACACTTTTTGTCGTCGCGGCCCCGCGAGCATCGACAGGGCGTAGAAAGGTCAAAGAAGCGGGCGCGCACGCGCGTCTAAAGGCCGAGCCCTCATGCCGCTTGGGACAAGCAGCGCCGGCAGCCTGTCATAAGTCATCCGGGCGCGGATGACGGCGGGTTCGACAAGGGGGGGGGCAGACGAACCGACCGGCATGGACAACAAGGCCGGAAAGGCGAAGGGAGCACAGGCGGACGAAAGTTACAGGGATGCCATGGCCAGACGATTGGCAGAAGGCCACGTCACGGAGCAAGGGGGCCGAATGCCAGCAATGGGCGGCGGGGACACCGCAGAGGCCGCACCCGAGGAGGTGGCAGCCGCGACAAGCCCGCTGGATCACACACACATACACACACGGGCGCACACACACACACGAAGGATTGCAAAAAAACCGAAGGATTGCAAAAAAGGATAGCAAAAAAAACCCATCGTTTTTGCAACTCTTCTTGGCATCGCGGCCCCGCGCGCGGCGACTGGGCGAAGAAAGTCGAGCGCAGGCGGCGGAACGCGCCGAACTACGCCCCGCCGAGCTCTCAGAGACCACTTGAGGGGGCCCCACAGCGCCCTGCGGCAGCCACAGCCCATGCGGGGAGGGGCGGGGGAGCGGACGGAACTCCTCCTCCTCCTCCTCCTCCTCCTCCTCCTCCTCCTCCTCTTCCTCCTCCTCCAGCTACGGACTGGAAGGCGGGGAGAGCGAGTAACTAACCGAGAGTGGACCGACAAAGGAGCGCGCGCACACACACACACACACACACTCACACACACACACATGTGTGAGGCCGTCGGCCCTGCCCGCCCTCGTGCCTGGGTTGTAGGTCACAGGTTCCCTGGATTCATGCTGGGATCTCTCGGGAGGCCTTTCGAATGCCCCTTGGAGGCAATTTTGGGTTGCCTTGGAGCCTCTCGGAGGCCTCTTGTGGATCTCTTGGGGGGCCTCTTTTGGGCTTCTTTTTAGGGCCTGCTTGAGCTTCTTGGGAGCCACTTGAGGGCCTGCTGGCGGTCTCCGGGGTCGTCTTGGGGCGGAGGGCTCGATATGACAATTCGTGATCCCCCTTCTGGAGCCCTGTTGGGCCACCATGGGGGCCTCTTGGGCCGTGTTGGGGCTGTCTTCGGCCGTCTTGGCCCCTTTCGGGGCTGCCTCTCGGGGGCCCTTTGAGCCGTCTCGGGGCGATCTTGGTATCCTCGTGGGCCGTTTTAGATCGTACAGTGCCAACACACCCAGGAAAGCCAATGATTTATGCCTAATGGTGCCCTCTTGGGCGTCTCGTCTCGGGGGCCCGGCAGTCTTGAGGCTATCTCGGGCGTCTTGGGCCGATCTTGGGACATCTCGGGGCACTTCTGGGCTGTCTGGGGAACCTCCTGGGACCATCCGGGGGATTCTGGACTTCTAGGTGTAGTTTGGAGCCGGCTCAGCGTCCAGACAGCTCACGAGATACACCCGGGGAGTTTGCAGAATGCTTTGGGTTTCCCATGAGTTCCCATAATCGCCAGGGAAACAGGGTGTCAGGGCCTTGCAAGAACATTGAAGCGGGTCCCTTGAACACAGGCATCTGATAGACCTTGGGGCACTTCACTTCGTGCTGAAGGCACGATGGCGAATATTCTGGAGGGCGCAGGGGGGGAGCAGCAGCAGGATGAGTAGAAGGTGAAGGATATGAGCAGCGGCAGGATGGGCAGGAGCCAGATAGAAACAATAGGTAGGGCAAGGCTAGAGGCGTGTGAAGGCGCGTAGAGTCCGGAATCAGGAGACAGGAGGCAGGAGGAACGCGGATGCGTGAAACAGGGCGACCATGCAGGAATCAGGATCACAGGCAGACGCGGACGGCATGCGGTCGGCAGGAGACAGGACAGAGGATACAGACATCAGGAGAAGGTATGCGGGATGGAGCATGGGTCGGGAGGAAGGGCAGGAGGACGGCGATAATGAGGAGTAGCAATAGTTGGAGGTGGATGAGGCAGGAGGAGGAGGAGGAGGAGGAGGAGGAGGGATGAGGAATAAGTTGTAAGGATAATGACAAGGAGGGGGGAGGGAACAGAAGCAGGGAGGGCGATGCAGGAAAGAGAAAGAGGTTGAGGAGGGATGACAGATCAGGGAGCTGGCGGAGAGGAAGAGGGTAACATCGAGGTTGAGGAGCTGGAGGGGACGATTCTGGAGACGCCGCATCCACCACTCTCATCCTCCGCCTGTTACTCCATGTCCGTTGTCCTTCCTCTCTGTTCCCATCCTTTGTCTTTGCTCTCTTCTCCTCCCTTTTCTCCTTTTGGCGGGATGCAGGAGGAGAACGAGGAGGAGGAGGAGGAGGAGGAGAAGTCAGGTGCCCCTCGAGGTCACGCCTGAGCAGCTGGCGCAGCTGGAGCCCGCGTCAAGGGGGGTGGGGCGGTCGACACGGGGCTGGCCTGCATGCATGGGAGGGAGGGGGGGGCAGTCGTGGGGGGCGGTGAATGAGGAGGAGGAGGAGGAGGAGGGGGAGGAGGAGGAGGAGGAGGAAGAGGCGCAGGAGGAGCAGGAGGAGGAGGAGGAGAGAAAGGGAAGACGAGGAGGAGGAGGCGGAGGATGAAGAGGAGGGGAGGCGCGGGATGACGTGGAGTGGGTAGGGGGAGCATAAGGATAGAGAAGAGGAAGGAGTAGCAGCCTAATTGTTTGTCCTGGTGCTGCCCTCATCCTCGTATTCCCCTCATCCTCCAGATCTGTTTCGGGGGGAGGGAAACTGAGAAGGTGGAAGAGTAAAAGAAGGAGGAGGAAGCAGAGGATGAGTAGGCGGAGGATCAGGAGGGCGAATGGAGAAGAGGAGTCTGAGTATGAAGTGTATGAGCATGCCCATTCGCGAAGCGATTCCGACATCAAACGACCTCGGCCGATGAGACTTGAGCTCCAGTCGAGGGTCGTCCATGGTCCTTGGGCCATTTCTCTGCCAGGAATTGCTGAACTCACCTCTTGCAGATTGAATTAATCGGGGGGGAACATGGTCGGGCCAGGGAAGGCCTGGGTGGTTCATTGGCGAAAGCCCGCACGTCTAACACAGCCAAACCTTGAGAACGGATTTCTAAACGATCACATGGGGTGCGTTGACCCAGCCCCCACCGATATGTATATTGGGTCCCCTCGACATCGAAATAATTGTATACTGTATACTTAGCATGTGTAGGGGTAACGCAGCACGATCTCCTCCAAAGTGTGGCCGCCTCAGGAAAGGCGGACGAATGGCAGGCTGTGCGCCGCTTGCCAGTTTCGTCAAGCGTGTGGTTTGGCTTGAACACTGGGACGATGAAGTGTTCGGAGGGAGAGGTTTGCGGTCCTGCATTAGGAGCTCGCGGGTCTGGTGGTCTCTGCAGAACTGGTTGCCATAGCCTCCAGGGTGGAACAGAGTAACCTGCGACGGACGAAGCCAGCTGCTTTTTCCACAAGAGTGATGAGAGTCCGAACCTCACTGCACGCACGAGCTCTTTTGGCGGCAAGCCCGGCACCTCATCAGGTGCTTGATTCTCGATGAACAACCATTGGGGAGAGGAGATTTGAGGGTCTGCTCTGGCTTGAGGTGAGAGGGAACTTGGATGACGGGCACTTGTGGTACATCACGTCCCTCGAGCGCTTCACTTATAAGTTCCCATGTGCTCGCATTGGCCCCAGCGGGAACCGCACATAATTCGTTCAACCACCAGTCGGCAACATTTCTGTACCCGAGACGTACACCAGGGCCACAGTCGAGAGTTTGATGGCCAAAAGGAGACCCCACAGCTCCCAGCGAGTCACTGCTTGCACGGGTGCAGGGAGAGCCCCAAATATTGCAGCACTCAGAAAAGACGGCGACGGCGACGGCCACCCGTCTGAGGCGAACGTCCCGGTTGTCATTGCACCAGTTCTCATCTCCAAACTTCACGATTGGATCTTCGGGAGGCCCGAAACCTAGGCCGCCAACATCAGAGAAAGCTCAGTCATCGCGATCGAAGATCCAAAAGTCAGTCTCAGGAGGGTGAGGTATCCTGGCCCAGGAAGACGGGGTAATTTCACGGAGCCAGAAGCGAGCCTCATAATATTTACCAGGTAAGTCTTTGGATCTCCAGAATTCCGATTTCTGATGCACGTCATTACCTGTTCTGCCTTGGCAGAGCCAGTTGCAACGTAGGGGAGTCTCACAGACACGCCGACAGCAAGGACATAAAACGTCGACCTCGTTTTAGATCCCGCCTGCAACTCAAGCTCGAGTCCCGGTGCCACCGATTTCAATGACAAAAAAAACGTTTCGGCTAAGCGAGCTCCTTAAACGGGATCTGCGCAAAACAACTGAAGCATCTGCTTGTAAGTTGTATTGTCAGCGCCGAGGCGGAGACCCTCGCCGCAGAAGTGGCTGCTAGCTTTTCCTGGAGAGACGAACTGTTTTCTCGAACTCGCTGACTAACCTGCTAACATCGCCAGAACGTGATATGGACTCATCGGGGAACGTCCAAATCGCACCGGGCTCTTCATCGTTAGGCGGGTTCTGTCACTCAGTCGGGGAAACGGAGTCCCAGCCAAGTTCTGAAGTATAAGCCACCACTGCAGACACTGGACCGCGAACTGCCTGGGAGGCAACAGTAGGTCCGGTTGCACGAAGCAGTGGGACGACATTAGGCCGAGCTGCGACGACTGCAGGCCTGATCATGGGTTCCTCCAGTCAAGTCCTGAGCCACAACTACAGTCCCTAGGGGGCTCATATCCAGGGTCATGTCCGTCAGCCCTCATCTCCAAACAGATATGAGACAGCGGCCCCTGGAACCGGAAGACAGCGTGAACCTCGTGACCGTAATTGCCAGGAGCCTGAGACGCCGAACGTTCAATCACCCCAGTCCTGAACATACGGATCCAAATTTTCATGGCCTTGGCTTTGTGGTTCTGTTTGACTGGTAGCTCGGGCAATTCGTCCCGCGCCCAAGTCGACGCCAAGGCGGCGCCACTTTGCAACTTGAAACCGTGCCGCCGCAGCATCCTGACAACGTGCTTGCCGTCGTCGACGTTGGAACGAAGAACTACGCTCGTTCCTGCAACTGGCAAATAAATGATTTCAACGTTTGACAGGTGGCTAGACTGCAGCGAAAAAGACGTTGACACACATGCTGTCTGGAACCTGACGTGTTTGGTGTAACATGATCTACCCATGTACCTTGTTCCTACCCATGTAACATGATCTACCCGTGCAACGCGCGGCATGTCCAGTTGTTTTTTTTTTCCGCGGGGTCGAACGTTAACGTTTGTTTCAGAGGTGGAGGAAGCGAGCGGCCCCCTCCTCAGCGTCGAGCTCAGGGCCAAAAGAACACCCCACTTGGGCCTGGCCCTGGCCCCCAAGATGAGGCGGATCCCGCGCGCGGCGACAGCTCCACAGGCACAGCCTGCAACCGCGCGAGGTCCTGAAAACCAGAGGCCTCATCCTTTGCCGCAATCCTCAACCGCGTGGCCTCGAGCCCAGGCAGCAAACGACTGCCTGTAGCTCCCGCCTGCGGCTGCTGCAAGAAGACCGCTCTCCGATGCAGTTGTTGGACCTGCAAAAGTCGCAGCCTGTCCACCTCGCTTAATATTTGGAGAACAACGCCTGGAGCACGATTCGATTGCGGATGGAGACCTCGAAGCATTCGACCGAGCCTGCAACGAGTAGCCGAAGAAACGACGCGGCCCTTACATTCAGACTCCAACGTTCTGCTGATGCGATCCGCACTGTAAGGGCCGCACCTTCCGCAGAAAACCAAACTCGGGCCATGCGAAAGTCGCGTGTAGACGAACGAGTGACCAAGACTATCTCGATCTCTGAGAAAAGACAATTCGCACGACGACCAGTGCAACCTGCCATATCTAACTGTTGCGCGCACGTGCCTGCGACGCGAGCATGACAGTCATGACATATAAGCGATCTTCGCGAGCCTGGCACAGCCGTCCACGCATGCCATCTAGCCGCTCCAGTCTCTCGGGGCCCCGGGGCCTTGGGTCGAGGAGGGAATTGGGCGGAGGGGGCCAAGGGGAGGACCGATCCCACCACACGGGTCACCGCTCGAGCCTTGGCAATCAAGGCATCAAGCTCCTCAAGGTCCTTTGGGCTACCCCGAGCATGCAAATACAACGCTTGCTTAGCACGCTGGTCAGCAATAAAGTTGGCTCGACCGATTCGCCTCTCATCATCAGGCAACTGGTCGATGTCTTCCAACCGTCTGTGTGCAGGCGTGCGATGGGCCTCGCCAACATAGCCTGCACCTTGGAGCGCTTAAAATCCACGCCTCAGGCCAGCATACTTCGACTGGCTGGAGAGGACCTGGGTCTTAGATTGATTGTGCAATCGCACAACTCCAAGGCAGTCCGAGAAAACTTCAACCTTGCTCTGTAGCAAAAACGCCGGCATTATCATGACCATCTGCTCTGCAGCCTGAGGGGTCTGTGGGAGCGAAGGCCACACAGGGCCCTGGAAACGAGCAAGGACCTCCTCAGACCCCTCAGGCAGAAAGATACCTGCATACGCCGCTCTCGACAACTCCTTGATCGGATTACGAGTGCACGACGCATCAACGACACCGACCGACGCATCTTTCAGGATCGAGGGATCGTCGAGGGGCTTCCCGCTAGCTGTCAGCAGCTGGGGATATAACATATCTGTGGGAGGTTGGAGGTAGGCGGAGGGGTGGCTGAAGATGAGGCGGGTCCAAAAGAGATCTTCGCTCCCCGCCTGAGCCCCATCAGCGATTATCTCCACGCTGGCCGCCTTCTGCCTCGCTCCTACAACCTGCGGAAACTGGCAGCACCACGGCCGATGATGGGGGCTGTCGCGCTGACTACACATGGGGCAAAGTCCATCCGACTGGTACCCTAAATCTTTTAAACGATCCTGTGTAAATGCGGCTTGAGTGAAACAACTAGCTACTGCATACTTGTGCTGAGGCGTGCGTTTCTTAAAAGTACGAACAACAGTGCGCACAACATCTACACACGCGCGTGCAGCCTCACCCGCTAAGCCTACATTTTGAGCAATACCACGTTCATGTTTACGCTGCAACGCTTCATGCAAGAGAGTCCTGATGAGGGACGGGGACGTATACAACGGAGACATCTCAACTCCTCTATCATCAATCCACTCCGTGACATGCTTTGAACTCCACCCACCACTCCACCCATCCTGGAAATCGGCCCCTTCGACTGCTTCCAAATGTGTGCCGGAGGAAGTTGTTGCACCACTGCATTATACATTTGAGCTAAATCAGCAACCGTGAAAAGAGAGCGTTCCGAGGCAACCGCTGCCGACCATACTGCTATAGCCCACTGCGCAGCTGGAGCCGCAGCAGCATCTGCAACAGGGTCGCCATGTAGCACACATTTAGCAAGAAGCGAAGCGCCTCGATG